TCTCTCGCCGTTTTTTCATTCTGGCCTTCCTCTGCGACTGTAAGCTTTGTAGACCAGATATTAAATCGATCCATCCTTTTGGAGCGCGTCATAAGGTCTTCAACGATCAGGGCAAGTACCACTTCACAGTGCCCCCCTCCCCTCAGCTTGTCATTAAAGAAAGCTACGTATGTAACCCATAGTGTTTTGCTCTCCTGCTCGCTATCGGAATGCTGCACCCCAACAATTTTCGTTGTGCTGGCTGATGTTCATCCACTTTCGTCACCGATCAAGTTTTGCTACTGAACAGTGTCATTGGCGACGAGGATGTGCTGAACCTTTATTGTTCAGCTGATATTCATGAATAGAATGTTGTTGATGAAGGGGAACATTGGCTACCATTCAAAATGAGCGAAACTTACCCTTTGTTTCATAAGCTCTCCATTAATCGTCATTTTTGGTGCTTCTCCAGGATATCAGTCCTTACAGATTGTATTTTGATCGATTAATTTTGAGTCAGATTTTGCCTTTTTCTCTGTCGAGTTATTTTAGCAACTGATGCAATTGAATCGTACTTTCTGCAACAAACACAGTACCATTAACAAGTCTGAGATCGCTTAGCAGCCCCCTGTTGAGTTCAGACTTTCAGTTCTAATTTGTCCATCTAAGCACTTATTTTAGAGACGCCGTGAAAAACCTTGAAACCTTAGTGTTTCCATGCTTACGCCATAACATTTCTTACAGATTATTACCTTCGTATTTTGTTTGTAGTTTGACTGTAAAGTTTTAAAATTTATTCTTAGCAACCTTAGCTTACAATTAGCATTATCACAGATTAGCGGACAGTTACATATCTGAGTACTCGTGAGTTTTAACTACGATTTGCTATAACACGAAACATACTTCGAAAAGAAGTAGGAGAAACAACATAATCCATGAAAAAATGATGGACAAAACATGCACACAATAACGTAAAGACAGCGGACTAATTATAGGTACACGTAGGGTGTTGACAAAGCACATATAGCACAACTGGTTACCGGACAAAAACATGTTGCCATTTTGCAGATAGATCGATCGGCCGAACAGACATTTGCCTCAATGTTGAGTGTCATGTACTTAATACGTGCAAATTCGAATGATGTAGTGCATGAATGCAGTCCGAAGGCTAAAATTGTCATAACCATACAAAACAAAGGA